TTTGACTATCCCTACTGTTGTATCTCTTCGTTAGACTCACTAAGAAGTGACTTGAAGCACTCCAGAGACTTCTAGAACCTACAAACCCGCAGCGTGTCTTTCTAAAAGACTTACGCTAGACCTTAAACCCAAAACAGATGGCTGAGTGACTGTAGATACCATCTTTAGTGAAAAGTTACATTGTTAAGTCAATATGCTTATCCCCCTCATGCTAAGAAGATGCTTGTTTTCAGATCCACATTTCATCAGGCACTGGAATATAAGGAGTAATTAGCAGTAGTACCTTATAGCTCTAAGCAAGCAACGAAACCCTGCCCCCTCTGGTGTACAGGCAGTCCTCGCATTTACGACAACTGGTTCCTGAAAACCGCATTGTAAGTCGAAACATCGTAACTCGGAACCACAATCCACTACATTGCAGGACCGAGCGTCGTAAAGTCGAATCAGGGTATCAATTCATAAGTGCCGTTCCTCATAAGTAACTGTACTATATTGAATCTTAGCTACATTTTATTTGATTTCCATTCGATATAGAAAAAGGACAGTCTTGATAGGGAAATTAGTTTTCCAGACTTTATTATCCTGTGTCAATACTCATGTCTTAGATACACTACTGAATAACTTCAAGGATTAAGACACACCTAAAAACAGAATATGCATTTTTTCCACAACAGAGTTAAAAAAGAACAGACTCCTAGGAAGCCCTAGTCTATTTCTTGGCACGGGGATCTCTAAAAAACAAAAGGGCTGTACTGCTTCAGAAAGCCTTAAGTAAAGGTCAAAAGTGCATGCTGCCCAAGACGAGGGCATCTTTCAGTGGGCTTAGACCTTACACAGTAGTAAGTAGTCAGAAGATTAATAGTTTTATTTGTTATCCTCTGAAATATTACAACTGGCCTTCTCATATAGAAATAGATCCAAGGCTAGACTTGTCATTTGCCTCTTAAGACAAGTCTTTATAAAAAGAATCCCTTGTTCTACATTACCTATAGCACCCACATTTTGTGAAAAGTGAGCAGCTACCCAGTAAGCAGACTTCAGAATTTTGTAGGAGGAGTGCTCTCTCTCCCCTTCCACAGACTGATCAGAATTAAAATGGCCTTAATGTAGTTTCTTAATTCACTAATTAAACTAAACTGAATTATGGTCACTTCAATTCTGAACAGAAGCATCCACACAGGGAAGTGGATTAGTTGAACTGCATGAAATCCAATTCATACCTTTAGTTAATTTGGATTAATTATCCTGGATGCCCCCCATGTAGGCAAGCCCAAAGTATTGCCTATTCTCCATCTATAGTACATCTATAACCAGCTATTACTGTAGGAGGAGCACCTCACAATCCCTACTACAGTTATCCTCACACCACCCAAGAGGTAGGGAAAGTGCTATTATCCTCATTTTACAGATGAGCTGAGGAAAAGAGACAGTGATTTGCTCAAGGTCACAAAGTAAACTGGGTTTAAGTCCCCACTCTGTTAAGTCTCCAGAGTCTGAGGCTAACCCTGCTAAGAGGGGGAGGGATAGCTCAATGGTTTGAGCATTGGCCTGCTAAACCCAGGGTTGAGAGTACAATCCTTGAGGGGGCCATGTAGGGATTTGGGGCAAAAATCTGTTTGGGGATTGGTCCTGCTTTGAGCAGGGGGTTGGACTAGATGACCTCCTGAGGTCCCTTCCAACCCTGATATTCTATGATTCTAACCACTAGACCATCCTTCCTTATGCACTCATTTGTAGCAATTAAGTCACATCAAGAGAGTCAGTTACATTAAATGCTTTGAGCAATCCTTTTTAAGAAAGCCATTGCTGTAGTTGCTACATGGATACTATGTGGATGTGAGGATGAGATTGTTCGTTATGGAGTCTATTTAAATAAGGCTCACACTTATGAAAGTTTGAAGCCAGCTTGGATAAAAACTAAAAAGAATTCATATTTTATTGAAACTAAATACAGGTTCTTTTAAAAAATAAACCATTTAAGATCAAATTTGAAGTTGACACCCTATGTTAAGGCCTTAAATGATTAAAATAATTTAAATGAAATACAAAAAATATTAAGCAGTACATTTGATGCCAAGTCTTAAAGAAAGTCAAATAACTGAATTGGTGGACGTCACTAGTTAACAACCTGGAACGAGAATTTGTTGAAGTGCTAAAGCAGCTGTAGACCGGTGCAGAGACTATTTTCTTCATTTCAGTTTATTCAACTACTTCAGGTCAATGACTAATTCCTTCTAAGGTGAGCCAATTGGGAGTTGGGGAAAAAAAGCAGGAAAACTTAGATTGGAAAAGAAAAAAACATGTATACAAACTAGATGCAAGGATGAGATCTACTAGTTCCATAATCTTGAAGGACATAGTAAACTGAACTGATTTCTGATCACTAACTAGTGAATAGTTCCTTTACTCATTAATCCGTTTTAAATGCAAAAAAAGTTTAGTTGAAACCATGTACGTTTCCAGCACATTTAATTTTATTTAATAAAATTAAGTTTCGATGGAAATACAAATAGACAAATCACAAGCAAAAAAATTATCTAAGAGAAATACATCATCCACTATTTTCTAAAGTACTAAAAGACTTCAAATTAAGAATCTGAATAAGTGTCAATTAAGCTATTTTATTGCTTGAATAATGGGTAAGTTATGATGTATCCTCCGGGTTAGCATAACTTTGTTAATTTGTAACTAAATCTGTTTTAATGGTTATCAACCAATGAGGATCAACCTCTCTTTAGGAAAATAACTAAAAAATACAAGTGCAAAACATGACTAAAATCAATTAATGATTCCTACTTGCTGATTTAAATCCTATTAATGGTGATTTGAAGTCAATACACCCTGTTTGAAAACTCCAATGTTAACCTAATATGCCATGAATTCTACAAGAATCTCTCCTACTAATGTCCTGACATCTAGGCAGCAAAAAGAATGGATATACCTCAAAACAGGTAAAATTGAAGACTGTTTTTTTCATCTTATAACATTACTACTCCTTGGGGAATTCTGCACCACTGCGCAATGCAGAATTTTGCAGAAATTAATGTGCATGTGGAATTTTCTTTCCCCACAGAAATGGACTTCAATGCTGCTAGCCACCACTGGACCCAGCAGATTCCTGGCAGCTGCCAGCATGCCGAGAAAAGGAGAGGGCAGTGCACAGAAAACTCTGTGCAAGCATGGGATTGAGCATCAGGCAGTTCTCCCTCCGGATCCCTAGGCTTAGGGTGGGATATGGGGGGCACGTAAGGCTAGATTCTTGGGGGACGAGGGGGAGGCAAAGGGGGCAGAGAAACAGGAACTAGGTTGTGATAGGGATTTCTGTAACTCTACTCCTGGGGAAATTTGTGCGTCTCTCTGTATTGTTACAGACACTTGCTGACAGGTATTTTGAAATACATGACCCAAATAATTGAAACTGGCATGATTATAGTGTGTTATTTTGATGAATAAAATTTGCAGAATTTTTAATGTTTTGGTGCAGACTGGCCCCAGAAGTACATTACGTAACAAATTCTAGGTTTAAAATTTAAGTATCTCTGCATATATTAACTTTGCAAAGGATCATTTAGAATTGGTATGACAAACATGGAAGCCCATTTGCTTTTAATGTAGCAGCCCTATTGAGAAATACAGGAAGATGCCCCACCTACTTACTCTGCAACTACAGGAAAAGAGGATCATAAAATTTTGTTCAGCAATATAAAAAGTATTAGGAGAGACTGCATTGCCAGTTAGGTCTGGTTCCATAAACATTCGACCCCACCCGTTAAATACCTAAATTTAAAAAAAAAAAGTTTTACTGTATCATTCCTTCCTGTAAGTGAAACCTATTTACTCTTTTCCTTGACTCAATTCTCCTCTGCTCCACTCATTTTTCTATATTCTCTCGTCCTCTTTTCCCATGTTGTGTTTACCCCTTTCCACATTATCACTCCTTTCCTGTGTTCACTATTCAGTCTCTGCACTCTCCCAAACCTCCATTTCCCCCCCAAACCTGTCTCCTATACTTCTTCCCAGGACATAAGTTCATGAGCCAGCCTCATACCTCTGAAGTCCAAATACTACCATCCTCTCCTCAAAAATCAAGCATGTGTACAGACACTGAGAACCCTCCAGCTTCCTCCCCCCCACCCCAAGCAACATTCACTCTCATGCAGCTTCCCAGACGCTCAAATAGGCAGTCTGTGTATCATGTGCCAAGCATGTCCCAACTCCCTTATGCCCACCCACACAAGCAGCCTCTCCTCCTCGGTTCTCTACCCTAGTCTCAGTAGTTCCTTCCCCTACATTTGCACAAAGAAGGCCATTCGCTCTCCAAGCCCTTTGATTCCCACACACTTCTTGTTTTTCCACTTACTTTGCCCCTTCAACCCAAAGATGAGTCTAGCCCTGCTCAGAGAATGGAAACTGTTGTAGAGCAGGAGGAGGAAGTGAGGCAATATCTGTTCTTCCTCCTCCCACCACTGGCTCTGCCAGATACAACGATTCAGGAGCCAGTCAGCACCAACAGGAACTGAGGGTAAGGGAGAGAGAAAATGATGTGGTCTTGGGAGAATTAAGAGGAAAAAAAGAAACCTTTTCCATTTTTATCCCTCTACACAGAGCAGGCAAGGTATGTTTGGGTGGACGGGGGGAAAAAAGAACATGCACATCTATTTCATCCCAGTGACTGCACCTAGAGGGACACTTGTGGCAGCTTTTTGGGGTCATGAAACCCCTATAAATACAAGTACTTTAAAAAAGATGCTAGCACCAACTTGACTCATTGCATATTTATTCCTTGATTAGAGGATTCCCCAACCCCCCTTCAAGTAGCTTAGTGGTCTGTGAGTTTATCAGACACTTAGCAGTTGAACAGATTTCAGTGTCTACGCTCATCTGACTTCATTGCAAACTGTTCTTCAGAGTAAACAGCTGTTTAAAACTTATTGCTATAGAGCAAGATTGCTGTGTTTACTAGCATAAGGACAAAGTGGTTTGGTCAAACAAAGATTTCCAGGACATTTCTGGCATCACTAGAAGTTCCTGGCACATCATGTGTTGAAATTAGATATTCCTATAACTAAAGTGCTGGTGTAGCTTCCTAAATACATGATGCACCATGGTGCAATTTCAAGGTAAAATGACTGGGAAACAACTTCCCCCATAAATTACAATAAATCTGAACTTAACTTCTAGCCAGAAAGTTGACTAAAATGCTTGTTTCTAAATAGGGCTGAAATCCAAGATTTTAGACCTGTGATTGTGATTAAGAAAGCCTGCACACAAGACTCTTCTTCTCAATCTAGTCTCCATTAGTAATTTTGCTGAAAAAGTGTGCAAATGGTTCAGATTCTTAGATAAAAATTAAGAGGAAGTAAAGGGTTGAGAAGATTGTTCTGGACCTTCTAGTTCTCCACCCCAGGGAACATCAGGGTTCAGAGCACAGCCAAGTTATTGCTTGTTCTTAAGTGACCACTATGCAGACTAAAGCTTTCTAAATCCAGAGATAAAGAATAGTTTAATAGCTTATGCCTAATATTTGAGAGTACTGTCAAGAGGAGTTTAGCAATAAGATAGAGCCAATCATGTGTTCAATCTAGGACTGGCTCTAAATGATACAGCCCCATCTTTCATATGCACCAAGGGACTCCAAACCTCAGTTTTAAGATCGTTTTGCAACTATGACACTTGCAGCTGAGTCTTCAAGCATATGCAGTTACCATAAGCGTGCAATTTTCTTACCCAGCACAAGCTTGTAGGCAGGCCAACATAGTTGCCAGTGTTTCTGGAGGAAGCTGAGCACTTTTGGGCTGGTCTTTCTCTGGGGCAAGGCCCCCCAAAATAGATGGGCATCGTCTCTTTAAGAAGGTCATACAGGCCTGGATGAAGGGCTCCTGGGGAAGAGAAATTATTTTAATCTCTATTTAGACTGCATACCAGCCATGATTTCAAATTTAGCAATTGCAAGGTGGAAAGAATTGCACTAAGCTATTACATAGTTCAACATTTTCACTGAACTGTCAGACTAAAGAAGTTTTCCACAACTTCAATACTACTTAAAACTGTTATAGTGACTTAAGTCACCAAAAATAAAATGCAGAAATGAAATAAAAATCCTGCTTTACCCCATGCTCCCGAATTTTATCTGTGAGCCATTTGTCAAGTTTGAGGTATTCCCGTCGAGAGGCAAGTGCAGCAAGGTCAATAACAAAGGCAAATGGAGTACCATTTAGCAGCATTGACAAGGCCTAAAGAAAAAAAATAAGACTACTAGTCAAAATATCAGGTTACCCTACCCATTCTTTCACGATCTCTGCTCCCCACCTACTTTTTGGACGAGTTTTGCTACAACATGCTGCTACTGCTTTCTTGGTCAACAAAAAAATTTGGTACTATTAGCTTCATAGTTATGTCTTGCTTATAAGACTAAGCAAGTGGTTCTAGATCTGAAAGCATGACACTACCTTCAACTAGACTTGACCTTGTGCTTGGGCTTTTACAGTCTTAATATGAAGCCTTACCAATAAGTGGCAGAATAATAAAAAAAGGTTACTCAGTTTCTATTGCAACACCAAAGAAATCAAATAAAAAAAAAATCTTATCACTCCCTGGGCACAACACAGGAGTATTTCACATCCATTCTGAATGTGCCTCATGGTCAACAGTAGTTGATGCACAGAAATTTTTTTTCAGAAGGCAGTCTGTCCAGCTACACCAAATGACACCCCAAATTTGTTACATCCACTTTAACAGGTGACAGATACCTCAAAAAGGTGATAAATACCTCAAAAATAAGTCAGCTGAAACTGAACAGCACATACAATTTCAGTGGACTAGTATGGAAAGTTACTGAACTATTGTCACTTGTTTAACATACTTAAGTATAACTGTGCTATCTTTAAACAAGTTTACTTTTCTAGAGTAAGTTTCTTATGCTCCCACTTCCAGCATCTTCAAAAAAAGTAAGAATCTGTTGAAACTATTCTTCTAGTTCTAGATCATTTTTATAGTCTTGATACCCACTTATGCCAACATCTGAATCCAGACATTCTAGCAATACAGTTCTTCCTAGCTTTCTATCACTTGCTAGTTTAGTTTCCCTTCCCTTATAAAAAGGAACATGAAGTTCATACACAACACACTATGTAAGTGACAAATGCCTCTCAAAGAACTCACCTTCAAGTCTTGGGCAACATCGAGAATGCGTGACAATTTTGCCTGGTCATACTGCTCCCCTCTCATGTACCATTCAGCCATTGCATGCATGATAAGTTGGCGTATTGAAGGAGACTGGCCCTAGGGAAAGTTAAATTGTGATTTCACTTTATACAGAGCTGCATTTAAAAGAAACACCACACTTCAGGTTGTTACAGAAGTTTACATTTGGAATAGCTCGCTCACACACTTATGCAGATGTTTCACCTATACGCCACAGTTTTAATGGTGTTTATAGGCAAGTTCTGTAGTTAATACTAGTTATATGTCACTCAGATAATCTACTGTAAGAACCTAAAATCACTACTTAGACATGATTCTACATCTTTGAATTTTCTTTTAATGGTGAAACAAGTTGCGTTCACATCCCATGTTATTCCACCAGTAAACCAGTCTAATTCTTTTCCCATTCACATAGGAATGGAGATTGGAATAAACTATGGTAGCATGCCATCTACACTTATGTAATGGAATACCACATCTCATGTTCTTGGAGACAGAATGGGGGTGAGATCCCAAAACCAAAACAGAAATCAGCTTTTCATTGGTATCAAGGGTCTTAAAGTCTAGCTGTTCACATCTTGGGAGCACTTAATTTTACCAGCTGATGGAACTGCATCATGAAAGATAGACCAATGTTCTGCATTTATGCCACAACCTGGGCCAGTGGAAAACTTCAGATCTTACAGTTAAGATCTTTACTCAACTCATGCTTTGTTGCAGAAGGCTCTCTCCAGTCAAGCAATAGACAATCCTACCCTTCAATTTAAGAGATTTTCCTAATGTAAACAAAACCACCACATCACAACTGGGAGAGCTTGAAATGAAGGACAGTGCTGAATGACCATGACTTCAGTCAGTTTAGACCAGGACCAGGTCAGTTTTGTATCATTGAACTTCACTGTTCAGATGTACTTGAGCACAACACAATTCTTCTAATGCAGATAAGCCAAAAGACATAGGTCTCAACTACAGCCATCTTTTCCTTACCTTTCCCATTTGGGTAGCTCCATCAGTGGTAGCAATGGTGAAAGCTATAGCATGGAGAGGGCAGCACGTAACCCCAAAACAGTCTGCTTATGTACTCATTTAGCGCCTCACATTTGCATACACTAAAAGGATACACAGGCAGCCACTTCATGACAGCTCTCAGTTTAACAAATACAGGAATTGTAACATTGCATCAGACAAGTGTGACATCTGTAAAGTATACTGCCGTACAGATACTTCAGCCCAGGATGTATAGTTATGGAATAGCCAATCTCTAGTTAACAATTGGGCTTATGCCTGAACCTGACAGTTTATATCCCAAGATAATGTACTTATTACAGGAGACAGAGTAATAGAAGAAGAGGTTTTTTTTAAAAAAAACGCTCCATGTACCAACCAGCAAGACTTTAGTTTTACAAGGTCTTACATTGAGCCTATATTCAAGTTTGAGTTTCCTAAGCTGATCTTTTGTTAAAGAGTACTTATTTACACAATGAAAAAGAGACCAAGTCTCAGCAGTTTGCCTTAAGATCCAAGTGGTAAGCAATCACCGGTGAGTTGCAATATTTTGTGGAAAGTATTGCATTTTTATACTACCCTGGTCATAAATGAAGACATTTCAATGCTTTGCTGTTCCAGCTGCCAAATCAATCCAACACAAGCTTCTAAAATAAAAGTAATCAAAGCTTTTGAGTACTCAATTGCAACACTTACCTGTCCATGCCACGCATAGTGCAAAATGATGGCAGAGTTGGGATGGTTGCCAAGGAAAATTGGCATCAGTGTAGAGATGAGTTCATGGCGCAAGGTATGCCAGGAAGTGTTGATCTGTAATAAGGCCAATACCAACATATCTGGGCAGTGCTTGATAGGGAAACTGAAGAGCTGCTTAACTTGCTCATACTGCCCCACTTCTGCCAACCGCAACAGAGACTCAATCAAATCCAGGCTCTTCCTAACAAAAACACAAAGTTACATACTAGATGACTAACAGGATTCTGGTCGGCAGGCAATGCTAAACATTATTAAAATGCCAATTTTAAATAAGCAAGCTTCATACAACTTTTACAGCTTTGTTGAACCCAATTGAGCCTGCAATGAGAATATTCCTATCTGATTTTCATTAAATATTTAAACTCCGCATTTAATAAAAGGCTCAAAAAGGTCAGAGTCAACTACTCTTGTGGTGAAGAGGGATTAAAAACCTCCACCGCCAACTGAGATATTTCAGGTTGAATAACTGAAAACTGTGGCTATATGTATACACTTTAAAAACTCATGTTTTATTTCAGATACCTGGAGCAAGCTCCTCGGGGGGGGAGGGGGGGAAGGGAGGGAGGGAGGAAAAAAAAGACAGCTGAAAATTTTATATCTCCATTGCCTGTAGTCAGCTCTCAGCATTTGTGTCTAGTATTTCCCAGATATTTCTAATTCTGTAGTAGACACCCAACTGCATCATAGAACCCTGTTCTTGAATAGAATACCTATATATTTTTAGAAGTGAAAAAGCACTCCCAAAACACATTAGTAGGAACTCTCCCAGACAGCTAAAGACACCAGTGGAAGGATCAACTGGCAGCATGCTTTACAAGTGTTACTATGGGCATACGTGGGAAGTGCTCTGATAATGCAAGAACCAAGCACTAATTATACACAAGATACTGAATGGATCATCTGCTAAAATATGTGCGCAGCTAAACACTCAAGTCATTTGAAAAAGCCACATTTAACTGTCAAATTAGTCTTATCCTCCACTTATGAGAACATAAATCCAACTATGTGACCAGGTTTACCATGTGGCAATTTCTCGATTGTCATCCTCTGGTGGTGCTTTCAGGATGTCTGTGGCAACAGCATGACAGGGATAGTCAGCAAAACAGAAGATCTCCGGGTTTATGAGGGAATGCTGGATGAAGGAGAGCTAGAACAAGTGTTCAGAAAAATCAAGTTAGATCTTCAGCAAAAGTTGCATACCTTCTTTCCTCCTCAACCACCAGGAGAGACATTTTCAGAAGGGACTCAAAAGTTAGTGTGCGTGTTTTGCACCTCAGTTTGTACTGTATCCAGGACTTTAATCTTATTGTGTAACCAGGTTAAAGCCTTGGCACTACACAGTTATTGAACATAGTTCCAGTTCCATCTAGACTACAAACGGGAATAGCGTTGGTAACGGTTTTCCCCGAACAAGAATGTGTGGTGCCCTTCAACTCAATGTGCTTTAATATCCCTTAAGCCTTCAGATAAACCAGTTATACAGTTGACTAGACGATACTTAAGATGTGTGCTCGGGGTCTGTAGTCACTCCCAGACAGTCTTGCAAATTCATTCTTAGTTCTGGGATTAGTCTATTTAAGTTAGTTTCACTACTGAATGATGTTCCTTACTACACAAAGATATTAAGCCAGTACAATTGTAACTGTTAAGCATGTAAACTGCCCAGTACAATTAATTTGGCAACAGCTCCAAAATAAGCCTACCTGGCCCTCGGCATGTTTCCAAGGTCTGTATATGAGATCAACTGGGAAGACTTCCATGCCGAGCCCTCTTTGGATACCGTACACCACAATCTGTAGACCCTTGCTGTCACGAAGTTGAAACCCAGGGTGGTCCAGTTCATAGGTTACTTCCTTGAAGTTCAAACTAGGATTCTGCAACCAGTAAAACAGGTTACCCAGCATCAAGGTAACATCCATAAACATTCCTCAATACTTTCTGCAAGTGCACCAGGCCAACAATGATCATTCGTGCATTTCAATGGAAAAATTTCAGCACAAATAGTTAATAGTTTGGCTCAGCTGTAATTTAACTAAAATAGGAGCCTACAACAGAGTGTTAGACAAACTTAATTAGTGACACCAGAACCAGAAAAGATTACAGGCTCTGAATTCTGGCTAAGTGCTCCTCTCTTCCATGCAAGGTACATAGTCCTTGAGGCAAAAGTGCTTATAAAGGTTTCTGTGATGAGGAATAGGGCATATTAGGATGGGTGTAAGATAGGAATAAACAGCATGGAATTGTCTTAAAAAAAAAAAATCACTCAAGTTAGCCATTTTTGCACCTTTAGTTTCCTGTGGTGGTATTTGGACACATTTTTATTCAAGTGAAGCAATAAAGACATTTCAGTTCAGAAATGCTGGTATTCTACTCCTGAGAAGAGTATACCAGAATTGACTACTGGTTGCTCTGAATACTAATTACAAATAGTCTATATTGATATATTACAAGCAAGAAGTCACAAACTTACCAGTTCTTTAAGAACATCAATCAAGACCTCCACATTCCAGGTATGGGCTTGCGTTCCATCACTTTTATCTTTCCCATCACTCCAGATCCCACTGCCAGGAGCCGAAATAGACTGCAAATTAAATGCATCTGATCAGATACTAGTTAAATTTAAACAAACGCCAGAAACCAGAGCTTCAGAACATCCTGCATTATGAGCAAAATCAAGCCGTTAAGTAAGCTAGGAAGAAAGCTCTGCACCTTTCACCTAAGAATCAAAGCATTTTACAGACATGCCTCACTGTGATGCAATACCCCTCTGCAGAACAGGAATGAAATGTGAAGTGAAGAATACAAGTTAAATGATTTGCTTAAGGTAACAGTAGTGGCAGAGCCAGAAATGGAATCCTGGGGCACCAACTCCCAGTGTCCCCAGCTTTAGTGACAAGCTCACTCTTCTCACTAAGATGTAAATGTACACTGTTTACTACCGCTCTTCAATAAAACTACTCACTTGTAATGGAATACCCTCTGTCAACCCCGAATGAGTTCGAGCCATCATTCCCAAAACCCTGGCAACCTGGGCAGCTGTGACCTCCCGAACACCAAACTGCATGATTATGTTGCGACATTCTTCAACACTAAAAATATAACCAGAAGAAATAGACATTGATCACAGTACCAAAGCAAGTTTCACCATGACAACCAGCATAACACAAGAGGGACTAGAGTGTGATATTCTGATTAAAGGTAACCAAACACTGAAACAAAAAGTTGCTATTTCAACCTGATTTTGCATACAATAAGGAGTGCAAGACTGGTTGGCTTTGCAATGTTTTCAGTTAGAAGGGTTCTTGCTTTCTAATTCGAACCATTCCGGAACGCCTTGTGTTACTCGAATTTTGCTTAAGTCGGAAATATATCTCTGACCATTACAAAAAAAACCCCTCCTATTTCTAGCTTATGGGACTTTTTCCGTAAGTGCGGATTTGTGTAAATGGGGTCTTGCCGGGGAGTGTCTGTATTTATGTTAGGCCAAGATAACTCTTGCGAACACGGGATTTCTATGCAAGTTTATAAACATATTTTGGGAAATTGCCATATATTCAACTCAAAACCATAGATCTCCACTAAGTAACAACCATGTGACCTGTATTTGACCACTGCATATAGTTCACGCAAATTAAACTGTAGGATTTTGCTACTCTCAGCTCTCCATTAGACAGGAAAGGGGTCAAAAGACTACGGGTAGATTACTCATGAACACTATCTTAGGTTCTGACATAGTTGGAGTACTCAACGGTTACAGAAACTTCATTAAGTACCACCCATCTGCAACAGGTATTTGAGACCATGACTACATGCTTTGTGAGAAATTAACATGTATAAATTCACTCTACAGTTGTCAAATTTTCATCAATTAGACCAAGGTCATCTTAATATAACTACACAACGGAATTTCAACTCATGAAATATTTTAGCAGTTGACCTAACTTCAGGAACTAAATACAAAAGGCAAATTAAATGGTTTCCTACAGCTCAGGTGTTTATATCCTTCAAAGTTCATTTTACTCTGAAAATTTAGACAGTTACCTAGTGTATAGGAACACAAGTTAAAAAAAAAGTGAGTTTCCTTTAATCTAGGACTATGACTATGAATACCTTTGATTTTTATCTGAACTGGGAACACTTATATTTATGCAGTTTATCTAAATTATTAAAACTAAGGTATTTTTAAACCAAACTTATTTTCACCTTTGGATGCCATCTCTGGGTTTCAAACACTGCGAGGAGATGTTTAAGGGTATTCAGAAGAAATTTTTAAAATGTAGAACTGTGTTCCCTCTAATTTTTCTCCACACATGTGCAGAATGAATTTTGTTATGTGCACCAATAAGGAGGTGGTGTGACACATCACCTTCACATTGGTGCACATAAAATTCATGTGGTGGGGGTGGAGGCCAAGGCGTTCGGCATGGGGAGGGGGCTCAGGGCTGGTGCAGAGGGTTGGTGTGCAGGGGTGTGAGGGCTCTGGCTGGGGATGCAGGCTCTGGGGTGCAGGAGGATGCTCCAGTGGGGAGAGAGGACTCCCCCCAGCAACATCTGGGCAGGGGGGGGAAGGGGTGGGGGAGAAGGCGCCTCTCCCTGCTGCAGCACCTCCAGGGCTGGGGCTGTGATAGGTCCCATCTGGGGCTGAATTGGGGCTGCCCCTTCCCCAGCTAGTCCAGGGCTGAGTTGGGGCCCGGGGAGGGGCACCCCCATAGGTGCCAAGCCCATGGGTGCTATAGGGCTAGAGCACCCACAGAGAGATTAGCAGGTGCTGCTGAGCAACACCTACCAGCACCCAAGCTCCGTCCACCACCTCTCACCTGCTGACCAACTCCTCCCCCCCAGTGGCTCCTGCCTGCTGCAAACAGCTGTTTCTAGCGCACGCGCACAGGCGCACACCCCCAGCTAGAGGGGAAGTCCGTACCTATGGCATGCCCCTCCTCTAGCAGGTTGGTTGGGCGGGTTCCCTGAGCGCCTGCGCGGCACTGAATAGGCTGCTGCGCAGCAGTACAGCTTACAGGGAACTTAGGTGTGGAATCATACGAGTCTTATGCTTTTTATAAGCTTTATCAACATCTAACCACACATTAAATTTGGATTGAGCCTAATCTAAGTGTCCCTTTAAAACTGGCATTTGAGAACGCTGCTGGTAGTGGCCATCTTGCTGAAGTTATTTGCAGGCTGCCATGTAATCACTGCACACTATCTTCCATCCTGCAATAATATGGGTTTAAAAACTGAAGTGAGCGAGCACAGATAATGGTAAGGGAGGAGAACAGAAAGACTTAGCATCCAAATCTGACAGACTTCAAACTAGATCCCAATTGCTTCTTGCACCTTCCTGGGAGGGGTTAGGGGGGTTATTTGTATTACAGTACCACTGAGGAGCTGCACTGTATTAGATGCTGTACACACAGATCTTCAGTGTACATTACATCACCTCTGGGGTGGGTTCACCAAATCTTTTGGCCTGTTCTTCTGGAGTTTCCAATGATCAGAGCTGCAGGTTCACTTCTGGCTAAGAACCACCGGCAGACTCTTGGGGTATGTCTATACAGCAAGCAGAAACCCATAGCAGCAAGTCTCAGAGACAAAGTCTACAGACCTGGGCTCATGCTATAGTGTTAAAAATTGCTGTGTAAACACTTGGTGTGAGCTAGAACTTGGACTCAATCCCACCCCGAGATTCAGAGCCCAAGCCTGAACATCTACACAGCTATGTTTTAAGTGCTGTAGAGAGCCCAAGTTTGTAGAACAGGACTCAGACTTTCTGCTTGCCATGCAGATGTACCCTCAGAACTTGTTCATAAGTGAAGTATGGCACATTAATGTGTTAATTGAAGGCAATCGCAAGTATTGACCATACAAGTTCTTCACTTACAGTAAGAAACAAGAAGCCTGGCAGGTACTTGGTTCTGGGGCAGCTATAAGGATAATCATGCTATAAGGTATTGGCAGGGAAGCTGCGTAAGTTCTGCAGTATAGTCAAACAGTCCACTCCTTGACACTACTGCTCACAATGTTGCATGACTAAAAGTTTGATGCATGCAGCAAGTTAAACTGTTTGTGAAGCTCTTCCTGCCCAGCATTCTAAAACTCAATACAGATCTTCAATACCGATCTTCATGTGAACACTCGCCTGTGTTTAAAGCTTGACAACTTGCATAAAAGGGAAATTCTAAAAACCTAAGAACATAAGAAAGGCCATACTGGGTCAGACCAAAGGTCTATCCAGCCCAGTATCCTGTCTGCTGACAGTGACCAACGCCAGGTGTTCCAGAGGGAGTGAACCTAAAAGGTAATGATCAAGTGATCTCTCTCCTGCCAGCCATCTCCACCCTCTGACAAACAGAGGCTAGGGACACCATTCCTTACCCATCTTGTCTAATAGCCATTAATAGACAACCTCCATGAATTTATCCAGTTCTCTTTTAAACCCTGTTATAGTCCTAGCCTTCACAACCTCCTCATGCAAGGAGTTCCACAGGTTGACTGCGCTGTGTGAAGAACTTCCTTTTATTTGTTTTAAACCTGCTGCCCATTAATTTCATTTGATGGCCCCTAGTTCTTGTATTATGGGAACAAGTAAATAACTTCCTTATTCACTTTCTCCACACCATTCATGATTTTATATCCCTCTATCATATCCCCCCTTAGTCTCCTCTTTTCCAAGCTGAAAAGTCCTAGCCTCTTTAATCTCTCCTCATATGGGACCCGTTCCAAACCCCTAATCATTTTAGTTGCCCTTCTCTGAACCTTTTCTAATGCCAGTATATCTTTGAGATGACGAGACCACATCTGTACACAGTATTCAAGATGTGGGCGTACCATGGATTTATATAAGGGCAATAAGATATTCTCCATCTTATTCTCTATCATTTTTTAATGATTCCTAACATCCTGTTTGCTTTTTTGACTGCCGCTGCACACTACATGGACATCTTCAGAGAACTATCCACGATGACTCCAAGATCTCTTTCCCGATTAGTTGTAGCTAAATTAGCCCCTCCACTTTCTCCTCCCCCCCCCCCATATTATATGTATAGTTGGGGTTATTTTTTCCAAATGTGCATTACTTTACATTTATCCACATTAAATTTCATTTGCCATTTTGTTGCCCAATCGCTTAGTTTTGTGAGATCTTTTTGAAGTTCTTCAGTCTGTTTTGGTCTTCACTATCTTGAGCAGTTTAGTATCATCTGCAAACTTTGCCAGCTCACTGTTTACCCCCTTTCTCCAGATCATTTATGAATAAGTTGAATAGGATTGGTCCTGGAATTGACCCTTGGGGAACACCACTAGTTACCCCTCTTCATTCTGAAAATTTACCATTTATTCCTACCCTTTGTTCCCTGTCTTTTAAATCCGTTCTCAATCCATGGAAGGACCTTCCCTCTTATCCCATGACAACTTAAATTTACGTAAGAGCCTTTGGTGAGGGACCTTGTCAAAAGGCTTTCTGGAAATCTAAGTACACTATGTCCACTAGATCCCCTTTGTCCACATGTTTGTTGACCCCTTCAAAGAACTCCAATAGATTAGTAAGACATGATTTCCCTTTTCAGAAATCATGTTGACTTTTGCCCAACAATTTATGTTCTTCTATGTGTCTGACAATTTTATTCTTTACTATTGTTTCAACTAATTTGCCCAATACTGACCTTAGACTTACCAGTCTGTAAGTGCTGGGATCACCTCTTGAGCCCTTTTTAAATATTGGCATTACATTAACTACCTTCCAGTCATTGGGTACAGAAGACTATTTAAAGGACAGTTTACAAACCATAGTTAATAGTTCCACAATTTCATATTTGAGTTCTTTCAGAACTCTTTGGTGAATACCATCTGGTCCCGGTGACTTGTTACTGTTAAGTTTACCAATTAATTCCAAAACCACCTCCAGTGACACTTCAAACTGTGACAATTCCTTCAGATGTGTCACCTACAAAGGGCAGCTCAGGTCTGGGAATCTCCCTAACATCTTCAGCCATGAAGACTGAGGCAAAGAATTCATTTAGTTTCTCCACAATGACTAGCGTCTTTAAGTGCTCCTTTTGTATCTCGATTGTCCAGGGGCCCACTGGTTGTTTAGCAGGCTTCCTGCTTCTGATATACTTTAAAAAACATTGCCACCCTTTGAGTTTTTGGCTAGATGTTCTTCAAACTCCTTTTTGGCTTTTCTTATTACATTTTTATTCTTAATTTGGCAGTGCTTATGCTCCTTTCTATTTACCTCACTAGGATTTGACTTCCACTTTTTAAAAGAGGACTCTCTCTCATTGCTTCTTTACATGGTTAAGCCAAGCCATGGTGACTCTTTTTTAGTTCTTTTACTGTGTTTTTTAATTTGGGGAATACATTTAAGTTGGGCCTCTATTATGGTGTCTTTGAAAAAAAGTGTCCATGCAGCTTGCAGGGATTTCACTCTAGTCACTGTACCTTTTAATTTGTTTAATTAACCTCCTCATTTTTGCATAGTTCCTCTTTCTGAAATTAAATGCCACAGTGTTGGGCTGTTGAGGTGTGCTTCCCACCACAGGAATGTCAAATGTTATTATGGTCACTATTTCCAAGTGGTCCTGTTATAGTTACCTCTTGGACCAGATCCTGCACTCCACTCAGGAGTGAATCGAGAACTGCCTCTCCCCTTGTGGGTTCCTGTACCAGCTGCTCCAAGAAGCAGTTAAAATATCGAGAAATTCTCTCTGCATTTCGTCCTGAGGTGACATGTTCCCAGTCAATATGGGGTTAACTGAAATCCCTCACTATTATTGAGTTCTTTATTTTGATAGCCTCTCTAATCTCCCTTAGCATTTCATTGTCACTATCACTGTCCTGGTCAGGTGGTCGATAATAGATCCCTACTGTTATATTCTTATTAGAGCATGGAATTACCATCCATAGAGATTCTACAGAACATGTGGATTCAATTAAGTTTTACTTCATTTGATTCTACGTTTTCTTTCACATTCAGTGCCAATCATCCCCCCACCCCTGCATGACCTGTTCTGTCCTTCCAATATATTTTGTAACCCGGAATGACTGTCCCATTGCTTGTCCACACTCCACCAGGTTTCTGTGATGCCTACTATATCAATATCCTCCTTTAACAGGAGGCACTCTAGTTCACCCATATTATTTAGACTTCTAGCATTTGTTTACAAGCACTTTAAAAACTTGTAACTGTTTATTTGTCTGCCCTTTTCTGATGCGTCAGATTCTTTATGTGAATATTTCTAATCTGATCTGGCCCAACCTTTATCCTCTTCCATCCTCTCCAAGACTAAAACCTAGAGATTCTCTATCAATAGACTCTCCAAGAGAAGTCTGTCCGATCCACATGCTCCTCTGCAGCAACTGGCTTTCCTCCATCTCTTAGTTTAAAAACTGTTCTGCAACTTTTTAATGTTTAGTGCCAGCAGTCTGGATCCACTTTGGTTTAGGTGGAGCCCATCCTTCCTGTATAGGCTCCCCCATCCCACAAGTTTCCCCAGTTCCTAATAAATCTAAACCCCTCCTCTCTACACCATCGTCTCATCCACGCATTGCAACTCTGAAGCTCTGCCTGCCTACCTGGCCCTGTGTGTGTGTAACGAAGCAAAGAACTAGAAGAAAGTACATTATCTATTTTCTTTTTACAGAAAATATGTCTGGATTGATAAGTGAATAGTTTACCTCTACTGCTTAGATAGGAATGTTCAACAGAAGGTAGTTTACATTTACAATCAGAAAATACACAACACTGGAAGTGAACATACCATAAACCAAGAACAAGCGACCTTATGTTACTACTTGGTGTACAAAGATTAGTGTAGTTACTTTAGGTCTCCCTCTTTTCCTTTACCTCAGGGAAAAGTGGACTGTTCCAAGGCAAGAGGATTGATGTGCACGCGCTCTCTCTCCACACAGTTTTCCTACAAACCTTGTACAAAAGCCGTAGCCTACTTCTTGCATGAAGTCTGCCAGAGAGCTCTCCATCATTGTTTTGGCTATCCCTCCAGAATCAGGCAGGATCCTATCCATTAGGATGTCCCGTTTTTCAGGGTATAGAAGTGGTGCAAGCACCACGGGGCAACGCTCCTGGGGAAAATCTAAAAATGAGAATGAAGAGCATGTATTAAGATGCATTATAATGGCCTAATAAACAGGAACTTCTACAATACTACTTCCAGTCATAAATGACCATTAGGATTCTGTGTTTCTAAGTGCTTATGTTCAAATGAAGATAGTATTTTTCAAAACAATTACACATTGCCCCTGTAAAATGAAGGCTTTGAGCCTCCCTCAGGAAAGCTTCCAATTCCTGAAGAATTGAAGCTTTAAAATTTTTAGCCACTACAGTTGCAAAGGAAAGCTACCAAATGTATGCGGAGAAAAATCACTGCATCTAGCCTACCAACATAGCTCCAGGTCCTCTATTGCTGTTTACAGCTTCCCCAAACTGCAGGAGCAGCATGAAATTGACAAGCCTTCTACAGTTTCACTGCAGCTGCTTGGGAAAGCTACTAACTGCAGCAGAAACAGGTGCTAGAATTATTCCTGAGGGGACAACCACCCAAAAAGCACAGGTTGACGAATACAGTAGGAGAGAGCAGCTGTCCCCTTCCACCAGAAAGTATTGGGAATAGGGGATCAGTGTGGGGTGCTCCTCTGCATTCTAGCAGGGACAGGTTTCAAGGGACAGATGCACCATGGGACAAGAGGACGAATTTTATGTTTTGGGCTATTATGCCAGCAACCCATCCACAACAGGACAGATTAGCCCAGTGGGAACCACCTAGGGGTCAGCCTTCCCTCAAACCAAGTTAGTGTGACTGCTTGTGTACTTTTGGAAGCATGTGGGGCAAGTTATTGGCTTGATTAAGGGAACAAATTCTCTAGAACAGACAATACTTAAGAGCATAAACAGCTGCTTTTTTTGCATTATAGTCTTGCTCTATTGATCTGTTTATACACACTGTATATCTAGTTCTTCTTAGAACTAAGGAGGAGTGAGGAAGGCCGGGAAGAAGAGGAGATTAAAGGAGTTCAAGTCAGGAATGCATGGCCCCTTTATTAAGAATATTTTGCCAGAAACCACCTCACCCACTGAAGACAAGGGAAATGTTATTTCATATACTACATTTCAACTGCCATAGCGTCACACAGACAGAGGTAGTCTCCACAACATACATGGCATCAATAAAAAGTTCATATACAAAGCTATGTTCCCTGAAAGTTCCCCTAAACTTGTTCCTGGAACTTATGTATTCTAGGACTTGCAGCAACAGACACTGATTTAATGTAAATATTATGAAGCCTTAACTATATCTCATCAATCCAGTTTCCCCTCATTTAGCATTCTGAAAAATTCCCTGTTTTAGAAAGATCGTGTACTATGGATGTTTAAAGCTACAAATAGAAGAAAAATATACAACAAATGAACTTTTGCAACAGGACAGAAGTTCTCCACTATCTAAAGCCTGTTCATTTGGGTATCCCTAAAGAAAGGCTGCATACCCCTCAAATTCTGCAGATTCTTTTTAGTATAGTGCAATACTATGTTACCACATACCAATGGAAAGAAGATTCCAACTACTTCAAAACCAACATGATTAAGTGGTACACTGCAACAGAGTATTTGTTCTCAGTGGATTTAGCCTCATGAAACCTTATGCACTAAGCAGCCTATTACACCACCACACTGCTGCCACTGGAATGACAGGCTGCTGGTACATTATGACAGGCACTCAAACAGGCTTCCTGAATGGTGAGGTTCTACTTACCTCTACGTAATGTTTTGAGGAAAGCGTCAATCTGTTCCTGTCCAACCCCAAAAGCTCCTTTCTGCCCAAAAAGGAGATGGGAGAGGAGGAGGTGCAGGACCTCTATTGCAATATCTTGGAAGCCACCTTCTTGATTTCCACTGACGTCTGCGTCAATGTAAGACCGCAGCAGATCTGGAAGTTTCTGTTTGATAAACTGGGCAGCTACAAGAGGAAAAGAGAGGCTACAGTTAAAGCCCTGAAAGTTACTTTAAAAATGTACCTTAGTCAAAGACTTAATTTGGTTCTGTTGGTCATCCAATGCTCTGGGCATATTTAACACACTCCACACCACCTAAATAGTTTTGTCTACCATTGATAAGACAGCAATATCCTTTTCATGCTCTGTACCCCTCAGCCCCACCTTTAGTAGGCAAGAAAGACTTAGCTATGTCTGTTCCAGACATATTACAATAGTGAATCAGAACTGGGGAAATGGGGGGAGGAACAACTCCTGCTCCAGTACCTATTGATTTCAACTGCAGAAGCAAACTCAAGTAACCCAGACCCTAAAGCATTGTCAGGATTGTTCTTAAATTTGACAGGTCTTTGCTGTAGTATTTTGCAAACTCCTCACTTACCAAAACCTCGTAGATCTGAGCTGAAGGAGTTCAGTAAAGCAAGACCAAAAATCACCTGTGAACAAATGAGAGGAAAGTAAGAGCCTATCATGCATTTAATTTCAGTCAAGTTTTGTATTGTACAAACTTAACCAGCTAGTTTGGGAAACAAATGTTTACCCACCTCTTGAACTTTGCTTAATTTGATAACTTTACTCAGCTGGGCAAATAAATGGGGTGAAGGCTTTAGACTCTGAAACAGAATAAAGTATGAATTATTTATACGGATGGTCTAGCTTGTAGTGTGAAAGACAGCCTGGAGGTTTTATTTGCAGGAGAGGGAAATTTGCAGGAAGGGAAGGCATTTTGCAGTAGACTAGCTCACAAAGCCTGAACAGGGCAGTCAAAAAACCCAAGCAAAAGCTGCCATTTTCAGGAGTTAATATTAAGGTGACCCATGCTTTGAAGAAAGTTTAAATCCACACATACTTCTCACAAGTTACACTAGTTCAGTTACTAAGCTGTTGGTCTCAGGACCTCCCCCATGTCAACATAAAAATATAGAAGCACTAGGGACCTATTTTGTATTTTGATTGTTTTGAGGTCTAACACAAAATGTTCAAAAATCACAAATGTTTAACACTATTAAACCAGCTTAGTTTAATCAAGAGAAAGGCCCTTTCTAAAGTGGCTTGGACACTACTACAGTGCTTCTGTGAAAATGGTAAAGTGAGATGAGCAGTATGAGAATAAAGTTAGATATAGCAGACAGTGCAATCCCAGACTTCCACATGGACAACTAGCATTAGCTAATATCATGTAAGGGAATACAGTTTAGACCCAACCTTAGGGTTTATAAAGAAAGGCTTAAACTCCGTAAATATTTTTTCATGAAAGTAGAGGTATGAGTCTTGCTTGGTTTTAAGTATTCCCATCAAGTGTTTGCAATCCAAACATTGCTGTACTATGGAATGCGTAAGAACCTGAAATTGACTAATTTATATTTATTGTGGAAGCTTGAGTGAAGTACAGGGAGTGACAATGGATGAGCAAGACTATTCAGTTTTTAAAATTCTTGGTACTAGAAAAGACAAGAGTTTGTTTTAAAAGATTAAATCCCAGTAAATACAAACACGGAGGGTATACACAACTATAAAAAAAGCAAGGCCAAGGAGGATTTCAGGCAACAAGGGAAGCATGTCATGTCCTACTCTAGTTAAGGATCCTGTTCTTGAAGCTAAAAAACTGTCCAACCCTCGTGCACTAGCACCCATCAAAGTCTAGAAAATAGCAGCTCCTTAAGGGTAAAAGTAGATAATTTCCTTTCTATGGGTTAATCCATTTCCCCTCCAACTCTAGGAAAACCTTTGTCACTCCTCTTGTTCTGAAAATTTAGTCTGCTAGTGCAGTTACACACTGAATGAATGCTACTGCCTTGTTTGACAAGTTTTCCTGTTTAAAAAGCCATTTTAAATATAACTCATTGAAAACATTCTACATAATTCCACAATAAAATAGAGACTTATTTTTCCATGACTGACCCTTTTAAAACAGGGTATACAAACCTTCTGATAGTGCAATGGATTGTCAATGGCGTAGGACAGCGTCGAGATAAAGTTTGGCTTTGTAATCAGCGACGCACACTCCTGGATCAGAAACTGAGTCTGAAAAGAACAAGGGAACTGTGAATCTGCTATTGCTTTAACATATTGCATCTGTATTTCAGTTATCACTTTACTTTTCACTCTGCAGCCACAGTAGCAATAACCCAGTCAGATTTTAGAGTGCTTCAGATTTTGAATTCAGTATTTTGTACCAAGAAACACAGAAGGGGACAGACTAGTGTCCATCAGAATTTGACTGTTTCCTTGTCATTAAGGTTTAGGTTTTAATATTTGCCAGACTAGACAAGCGAGCCAAACAGAGTTTCTCAGTCACCTGGCAAAGTAAACTTGATGTGCAAGTCTGGAACTTCATTTCACTTGTCTTAGGCTCCTACAGATGTTAGCATAGATAGTGTCTGTATGCACAACAAATAGGAGCATAGTATGCTAAATTAAGCAATGTTTCTCAAGAGATTTTAGGAAAGAATGGAGGTTAAGCCAGGAAATAGGTGTGCCCCAGAAGTCTAAATAGTTTGGAAGTGTGTAAGATAGTTGCTCATTGTATTACTAGCTTGGACTAAGCTTTAAAAAAAGTAAGGGATGTTTTAAGAAGGTACTGCCTGGGGCCCAAAAAAAAAAAAGTGTGGCCAACACACTTTAGTAGCAGGTTTTCTAAGTCAGTTCTTTAAAAGAGAAACTCAGTAATTCCACCTTCTTGCTAATTTAGAGAGCCAACAAAGGGAGTTGTAATTCAAAAACTGTGCATGGATATTTTCCACCAATTAACTGAAGACTATAACCTGTACCCTGCCTTTGTGCTTAAAATGGCCTGAGAGCTTTGCAATAAGCCAATTAAAAGTATAATTAGTGATTGTCCAAGTGCAGCATTTACCTGATGGAAATCTTTGCCACTGCTTTTACCATCGCCACTGAAATCCACATGCGAGAATAGACAGCGTAGTAAATGCCTGTCTGCCTCGGGACCGTGCCGATTCACAATCTGAAAGACCAAGAACAAACCATTTAGAAAACATCCAACAATTTTGATGGAAAGTTGTCACACAATGATGGGGCACCAGTACTTTGGTTACTGTAGTAATTTCACTACTTTGTACAACGGAATACTCAAGTTCAAATAGGAGGCACTGAGGATCCAAGAGTTTAGTAATTAATTCTCAATATCCTGTGAAGTAAGGGTTAACCCCATTGGGGATGGAAAGACAGAATCAAAGCAGTAAAATCATAACAGGAACAGAACCCCAATCTCTTAACTCCAAGTTGTAGTCTTTGATCATGCTTCTGCCCACATTAAGGCACACTAGTTTAAGCACTCAACTTGTTTGTTTTTGAGGAAGGAACCGGTACATAAGGGAATTCCCAGGGTGGTGGATAATGTTTTTTTTATTTAAATTGGATTTTTTTGATAAAATGCTTTTGGGGGGGGGGGGGGATCTATGTAAAGATAGTTTTAATTAAGATATTTGAGCTATAATGTATCATCATGGAATAGGGATTATAAATTCTAATTCTATAGTATGAGACAATATATTCATGTAATGGTTAAGAAAAGTTTTGTAAAGGAGTTCCAACAGTTCATGGATTAGGGACCCAAATTTATGGGACTCCAGGGGTTTCTGTATAGATTTAGAAGATTGTTGGGGGCAGAATAGATCTGGACAAGGAGAAGAAGTCTGGAGATAAATGTGAGAAGGGAGGGACAGGCAGTAGAAACAAAAGTGAAACTGTTTGAGCAATATATTCCAGAAGTCTTGAGGTCTTTGAGTGTAGCCTTCATTGATTTGAGATCTACCATACCATTCTCTCACTAGAAGGGAAAACCTATAATGGCAGCAGGCCGTAAAAGAGACCCAGTTTGGGAATATTTTAATGAAGTTCCTCTACCTGTGGGTAAGACGGGCATGTGTTCAAAATGCAAACAATGCGAGAAATGCAAGGCCTGGTTGCCCGAATGAATCATCATAAGAAGTGTTCCTTCTCAGGAGGAAGCTGCATTGAAGATGATGAAATGAACATGTCTGAACACGCAGGATCTTCAGGTTGGTAAACTTTTTTATTTCATACTTCTTTCTTAAGGACTGCCTGTCTTCCTTCTGGACTACTCTTGAATTCTCATGAACAAAAAAAATAGTTGTTACTCTAGGATACTACCATTTTAGATGCAGTTGTGATACAAATAAATAGCTGAAATAGGCAGATCTTTTTACAATAGCACTTTAAAGTAGTCAGTGAATGCAATGAATAATACTAAATGAGCAGTAAGGTAATAATTAAATAACTGCATTGACTTATTTTGTTTAGGAGAATCCATCCTCTACATACTGGATTCTGAAGACTATCCACCTTCAAGGTCACCATTTTCTTTAGTTTCAGAGTTTATCCACCAATGATAGTGTTTCAGTCACATGTATGTCACATGACCACAGTATATCACCTGTAGCAAAAAGGAAAGTCTCCATCATCCAGAAACAAC